TCATCTGTAAAAGAGCACTTAACTAGATGATCTCAAAGATCTCTTCCAGCTTGAACATTCCACAACACACTATTTTTCATAGGTGATTCTTTTATCTTTAAAATCTTCAGAGGCTTTATTTTGGACTAGTTACACTGCATAGTTCTGGAAAGCAATTACCCAGAGCTACTACACAAGCTGATCCAAGCACAAAAATTACCTGGGGATAGACAAACTCGAGAAAAGAATAGATTCTTTTACAGGGGCAAGGGCTAAAGTCTCTTATTCTTTCCCTTTCTTCAAATAATAAGTGCTAGGGTATGATTTCCTACTAAATTTCAATCAGTAATAGAAAAAAAAGAAAGATCCCTAAATTCATAAGTTAAGTCACTTTTAATACATAATTTAAATCACAAGCAACTTTTCTGGACCATGTATATGGAAGGTACATTTTATATCTGCTTTGTTGGTAAACACAAAGAAATATGCTTAAGAAATATATCTAGTCAGTATTATTTAAAAGGAGGAGGGGATAAAGAATCTAGATTCTATGTCATTCTAGCTCTTATTTTAAAATAAAAATACTGAAAGCCTACAGTATTATATGCTTTTTATACTGCAAAAAGATATCTTATTTTCAAAAGTAGATAAAGCATATCCTACTTATGGCTTCAATGCATTTTACCACTCATGCATCATGTAGATATTTCAAATTGTAAAAAAATATTTATGACCTGTAAAATGAATTTTGACTGTGATTTTGAAAGACCACGTGAAACTTAACATTTCTAGTCTGGATTCTTTCAAACTTTCTGGTCATTTATTTGTAAATAACAAGTGCAATTCTTCACTTTTTCTATGGGGAGAAAAGAATTACTGGAATAGTTAAACAAAACAAATGAAAAGAGACTATAAAAGAATAAGACATCATCTCCTATAACGTTTCAACCATAAATAATATAAACCTATCGAAAATAGTCATTTACATCACCTCTGAAGGTCAGAGATAATTGGGCCTGAAATACCATCTTATAAAAGGGTAACCTGTGTCACAAAGACATTGAGCTTGAAAAAAATTACTTACATAGAATCATCTGTTCCCAAAACCTCCCTCATTGCAAAGAACTGAGCATATACAAAGGAATAAAAACAAAGGATTGGTTCTAAATGTAATAAAAACAAAGGATCAGTTCTAAATGCAAAGTCTAGGTGGAGAAAAGGAACCATAAAGAATGCAAAAAGGAACTTTCCTCTTCCCCAACTCTGGGACATCCTTCTCCTCGGGGAGACCCGAACTTTTGGGCCAAGGATGAGATCAGCAGTAAGGAAACTTCTCAGGTGGGAACACCCCTTTGGAACTCCAGGAGTCAAGCCAGAACTCTCTGCTCCTGAAAGAGCACAGCTGTCTCTGTGGGTGCAGTGTTCTCTGAGAAGGTCACTGTGGAAACTGGACCCAAGGCCCCAGCAGGAAACCAGCTGGAGTCAAGAGTAGCATGGCACCCGTTTCCCGTTTTGCCAATTTGCTAAACTTGGTCTGAAGAAATGTTATCATTCCCCAGGGTAAAATGTCTTCCCCTAGGATGATGACTACTGATGCTCTGACTTAACTCTGACATTTGGATCCACTCTCTCTTTTTACTCCCTCTATTAACTGGAGCATAAAACACTTATTCTCTCTCTATTCAAAACAAACCCTACCCTATGGGCACATCTGACAGACACAGGCATTCTCTCAGAGCTCATTCATGAAATTAAAGTCAGAGTAAACCCAGTCCTCTCTCCCTCTTCTCCCCTTCCTCTGTTCAACTCCTAACTCCTAACCCAACCCTGAATCAAAGCCCCACCTTGATAAACATCCTTCGGATGGAATTTTTGCTTGGCTCAGTGCCTCAGAGCCTAAGATGGTTCAAGAAACATAGCAGGCCCTTCCTAAATAGAGAAACAATCTATTAAATTCCTCAAATTACTATTATGCCATCATCAGGCATTTCCTTTTCCCATTCTGGATCACATGGACAATCCAGAATCAGTTTTTTCCATCACCACGATGCACAAACAAATCTATCATTCATATTCCCATCTTATATCTCAACCCAAAAGCCAAACTTTTAAAAGGCTCAGGCATTTAAGCAGCACTCTGGCTTTAAACTTCACCCTGATAATAAAGCTCCCGAAAGAGTCTCCTCCTTGATCATCTCCCCATCCACAGTCTCAGTCCTACTCACTTAAGGACTTGCCACCTCCGCCAAAGACTCTAATTCAGAACATACCTCTGCTCTGGGAATATTTACTCCCACTTTCTCCAATCCTTATCCGAAAAGCACATGTACCAATTCAATTTCAACCCCTCTTCCCCCAAAAAACAAGTATATAAGCCTTGTTATAACAGATGTCAATCAAAATACAACATCCCATGGGATGCTTCTCTACTGTCTCTACTATTGATGTATGTTATCAAGAATTCATCTATTTCCTGGGGTATTTCCTTCATTCCTAAAACTATAAACACACATTACTGAACCCATCACAGGCAGTAAAAGTGCAGGAAAAAGGAAAGAGAACAATAGATGGGGGAAATAATCAACTGTCTTTTCCTCTCCATTCATTATGCCTCTCCTCACTGCAAGCACCTAACCGTTTAAATTTATTGCTACTACCCTTACAAGAATAAGGTACATTTTGCCTAGTGAAGCTTCTCTTTGTTTTGCTGATTCAAAATTGGGCAGATGTATATTCACAAGAGCTGGGATTATCCTAGGATACATAGATTTTTTTCCCCCCCAAAAATGTATAATTGTGATGGGTCTCCCCATAGTTGCTTGGTCTTTGAAGTCTAATTTGCTTAAGTCAGTCCCAAACTAGAAACTTGAAAACAAAGGAAATCATAAAAATTAAGTCCATAAGCTAATCATCACTTACAAGTCATCTGCTTTCTGCAGCCAGAAGCCTCCAAACTGAGGAATTCACTAAAATGAAAGAAGACCAGTAGAGTCCTAAACTCCAAACACCTTTCACCACAGATTCACCAGTATCACTTTCCTTTAATAAATCAGGTTGGCTTGGGTTGAAAACGTGAAAGGTTAAGGAAGGTATTAAAGGAACCAATCAATCCCTTTCTCATCCCAATACTACTGATCTCATGTTGACTTACAATTCATCATCTACTATCATATATAACTCTCCTACCTACAATGTGAATAATAATAGTTCCCAGGCTCTGTACTTTCATATATACTTTCGTTTAACCCATCCCAAAAGCCTGACAGGAAAGTTTTAACATTCCCACTATACAGATGTGAACACTGAGACCCTAAAGGAAACTAATGGCAAAGAACTATGTCAGTCAGTAGAGTTATTTAAAATAGGCCATGCTAATCCTTTGTTACTAATGTAAGTTACTGAGTATCTTAAAGACTAAATGGACATATAACTCCTAAGATTTTTGAATTAGAACATTTTAAAATGCATACCTGTTTTTTCCTTGAATTTGCTTTGGGAAACAGGCCTGCTGACAACACAGATGTAAATGGAGAGCAGCATAGCTCAGGAAAAGGGTTTGGAATAGATGGCATTTCCAGAACATCAAGATCTTTCTTTTTTCTCCTACACCAAGAGAACATAGGATGTAATTTACATAAAACAGAATGTAAAATATAATTGCTGTCACGATTAAAAAGTTAAGGCCAGCACGTACTACTCTGTGACAACACTGATATTATATAAAGTATACAGCAAAGGTCTGTGATGTACTTTCTGTGGGTCAAAATAAAACATGTCAATTGATATAAATCAATCTTCCATAGTATTCTTTTTTTTTTTGGCTAAAAAAAAAAAATCACTGGGCCTGGAAACCCCATTTCCAGCACTTTTGATAATTTTCCTGAAGCTGAAATACAGACTACACAATTACTGAGGCAAAAATCATCCCGAGGAGTTAGGCACTGTTTTGCATTCATTAAATTGACAAAGTCCATAAACATTTAGTGAATTCATCCCTATTCTATTTTACTAATAACTTTTGAAAGTTATGGTTTATTAATTATAGCTGTGGTTCATCTCACTTCAAATTTCATTCACAATGTTGCCCACACACAGTCTGTTGATTTTTCAAGTGCTTATAGATACTAAACTGCAAGGCAGTGTTTTTGAGGAGGTAAGTGAATAGAACTTGCTAGTATAAATGTACTCGAGTCCACTGCAGAGTAATTTTAACTTCAGTGAAGTTGAAGCACTTTGAAAATCTGGGGGGAAAAAAGTGCCATTTAAATGTATGAATATAAAGGACTATAGATTTTTGTATTGCTGCAGGCTTTTTCTTTTCTAAAGTATGTGCAAAATTGTGAACTCTACAGGCACTTAATGCTGAATGCTATGGAGATTGGGAAACCTTTTAAAGCCTCTATTCTTTCCTGCTGAACAGCAAGACTGCTCAAATGTCAATCCGCGCTTTGCCTCTCCAGGGTCGCTGTAAGACTCTATGTGGGAGGTGAACTCATTTATTCTATGATTTTTTAAATATATAAAAGAAAAAGAATTTTTTTAAACGCAAGACCACGAAGGAAAAAGGAAGGGGGCGGTCAGCCTGGAGCCTGGCCTCCTAGTTCACACGGATGGGCAGAGGCGAGAGAGATCCCGAGCTTCAATGAAACGGTGATGCTATTTATAAGGCGCTGGGAGATCGCAATGTCCTGCTGATCCGGTAGGAGCCAGCTCAAAGGGAATTGTCTTCAGAGACTTTCACAAACTTGGCCCAGCTCTGGGCACATGGCTCACCCCCTAGGACCGCCTCCTCACCCCCTCGCCAGCTGCCAACCCAGGACACTCCCCCGCGCCCTCCGAGGGCTGCCTACCTGTCTGCAGCACAGCCGCGAGTCCCGTCCGGAGGGGGCAGGAGCGCCCGCGCGTGCAGCCAGGGGGCCGGCGCCAGGTCGCGGGCGTCGCCCCTCCCCTGGGCAACGCCGCACACCTGAGTAGCCAGAGGCGAGTCCTGGGCAGCCGCCCGACCCGCGGCGCTCTGCCCATCTTGCAGGGAAGTGGTCATTGTCGCCGGCCAGGGGGCTTGGGCGTCATGAGAGACCCGGCGCGGGATTAGAAGAAGGTCGGGCGTCGGGAGGCGAGGTGCCGGCTCGGCAGCCCGAGCGCGCTGCAGGTGCGGTGGCCTCGCCGCCTGCGCTCCGGGCCCGGGCGGCTCAGACGCGCGGCGGAGCAGTAGGCGAGGCGGCGGGGGAGGGGAGGGGGCGGAGGAGGAGGGTGGG